ACAGACAGACAGACAGACAGACAGACAGACAGACAGACAGACAGACATACATACATACAAACATACAAATATACATACATACAGACGGACGGACGGACGGACAGACAGACAGACACACACATAGACACATACCTACATACAGACACACACATACATTCCTAAATATGTACATGCGTACATACGTACAGACACACGCGCACATACACACATACCACATACATACGTACATACGTACATACATACAGACACACGCACACATACACACATACCTGCATACGTACATACGTACATACAGACACACGCACACATACACACATACACACATAGCTACATACGTACATACATACAGAGACACGCACACACACACATACACACATACCTACATACGTACCTACGTGCATACATACATACATACATGCATACATACATACATACATCCATGTAAATAGAGTGCCTCTTTTGGCTACTCCCTTCGGAGTTTTTTGAGGCGAAAGGGCCCATTGAGAAGGCCGCAAGCTGGGGCCTCACAGAGCGCGTGTTTTGTTTACCAGGATGCGAAGCATTGAGCTTGCAAAAGGTGCGCTCACTTGGTCTTCCAGAATTTTTAAGTGCCTCATGGGGCCTCAGGTCCCTCATCCGGCCTTTCAGGAGCTCCCATAAAGGAATCTCAATCCGCTCATCCTTTGTTCTTGACGCCCCAGGTGCAGCGAGCCTGCAGCCTGTGAGTGCAGACAGTGCCAGCGCACAGGTGTCCTGGTGGAATGACTCAACATTTCAACATCTGCAAGATACCCTCACGAAGTGGAAACATGTGATGTGCTCGCCAGAGCGGCGCGACTGACGGTGTTTTGCAACCAGCACTCGAAGGTTCCGATGCCCCCATGGGTCATTGCGTCACTGCTTTCCCTGAACTGGCGGATGAGCCAGTGAGCGCGTGGAGCGGAAAGAGGGAGAGAGGAGGATTGAGTTGATCTCGGGGTGTGAGAACCCCTCACAAAACCAATTTATAGGTGATTTTGACGGACCAACCCGAGCAACGCAGAAAAAACGTCCGGTTTTATGCATTCTCTTGATCGACCAGGACTTGGGATCTGAACCCATGGTGGCCACGGTGGAAGCAGGCGCGGATTGTTCGTGCCGGACGCGTGGTGCACGAGACGCACCGCGTTCAGCATGGGGAAGACGCAGGAAAACAGCGTAGAGCGGGTGGTTCTATTTGCTGCAGATAGTGAGTGGCATTCGTTTCCTATACATTTTGATATCGTTTAGATGTACTTTTCTATCTGTTTTGGGACCGTGATGCAAACAAAACTCATGTGATGTTTGAATCCACCCAGCTCTATAGAATTTGCTGAACGCTTGATCAAAGGGGGTGCAAAACTTCCGTGTTACGGACTTTCGTCAGCTCTAGCTCTAGTCAGCTCTAGCTCTAGTCAAGTCAGCTCTCCTGGCCGCAGGCAGCTCTAGCTCTAGTCAGCTTTAACTTTAGCTCCAGTTAGCTCTAGCTTTAGTTAGCTCTAGCTCTGGTTCGCTCTAGCTCCAATCAGCTCTAGCTCCAGTTTGCCCGTAGCTCTAGTTGCTCTGGCTCTAGTCAGCTCTTGCAATAGTCAGCTCTAGCTCCAGTGAGCTCTAGCTCTAGTTGGCCCTAGCTCTAGTTAGCTTTAGTTCCAGTCAGCTCTAGCTCTAGTCAGCGCTCTAGTTAGCTTGTTTTTCCATACAAAGTGTGGCTCCGAACCTGGAAAGTCAAGCTCTACGGAACGACGGTTTCCGGACGGTCTCGCGTCATGCTCGGATCATGCTCGAATCGTCCTTCCATTGTAACTAGAGTTTTCACCTGTTTCTGGTGTACGTTCTGTTGATGGAATTCCATTGCGTTTTGCAACTCCTGGATGGTTTCCGCACTGTAAATGTGACTGCAAGTGTTGCTGGTGGATGAGTTTTGCAACTTCAGGATCGTTGCCGCAATGTAATTGGCACTTTCATGTCTGGTTGGATCATGCTTCGTTTTGCAGGTCTTCAACATGCGTTTTGGAGGGAAGTCTCGTGCAAAATGCGTTTTTGATAGCGGATGCACGAATGTTTCCATACAAAGTGTGGCTCCAAACCTGGAAAGTCAAGCTCTGCGGAACGACGGTTTCCGGACGGTCTCGCGTCATTCGCAGATCATGCTCGAATCGTCCCTCCATTGTAACTAGAGTTTTCACCTGTTTCTGGTGTATGTTCTGTTGATGGAATTCCATTGCGTTTTGCAACTCCTGGATGGTTTCTGCACTGTAAATGTGACTGCAAGTGTTGCTGGTGGATGAGTTGTCGCTGGAATTTCAGTGTGTTTTGCAACTTCAGGGTTGTTCCTGCAATGTAAATGGCACTTTCATGTCTGGTTGGATCAGGTCTTCCAGTTACACTTTTTGAGGAAGTCTCACAGAATTGCCTCGTTTGGTGGTCTTCAACATGCATTTTGGAAGGAAGTCTCGTACAAAATGCGTTTTGGAGAGATAGCGGATGCAGGAAATGTTGTGTTTTTCCATACAAAGTGTGGCTCCAAGCCTGGAATGTCAAGTTCTGCGGAAGGACGGTTTCCGGACGGTCTCGCGTCATGCTCAGATCATGCTCGAATCGTCCTTCCTTGGTACTAGAGTTTTCACCTGTTTCTTGTCTACGTGCTGCTGTGACAGGGGTGTGGGAGCGATGATTGGATGATTGTTTGGTCGCAGACCGCAGGGCGTGTGTGAAGGGACACTCCGGATGCAGAGCTATAGGTCAAATTGTGCTTATAGGAAACTTCCGCCGCCGGTTTGCCCGGGAACTGCTTGTACAACTGATATAATTACCAATCGGCGCCTGTTGGTCCGAACCGCCTGGGGCCACAGGTTGCTTTTCTGCAGTGGTTCATGAGACAAACCGGTCCTTTTGATATCGTTGAAGGATTTAGGCTTAGGCTTTAACTTTGTACTTCATGGCTGACTGGTGCTTAGTAGGGACAAAGGGAATGAACCCCCAATAGAGATTCTATTGGATCCATTCCCTCATTCCCTGCTAAGCACCAGTCAGATGGGGTTTCTGATGATCAATGCGTGTGTTTCTTCGGTGTTTTCAAAGCAAGTCACCTCGGAATGAAGGAAGTCAGGTGCGTAGGGGGGCTCTATCTCACTTTTCTGAAAAGCACCGTTTTTTTTCGCTGTCCGACTGTTGGCTCTTTCATTTGCAGCCTGGAGAAACCCTCCAAAGACTGGCCAGTTTGAACATGTCTTAGCTCAGAACGCACCTGTTGGAGCATCGTGCCTTTTTCCGCGGAGTGAGGGGGCGGCTTTTTGGAGTCGACCTCTGGTCGAGCGACCGCCGAGGCGACGCGGGGACGACCTCCGCGATGCTGTTGGACTCCAAGGACCGAATGGCACGGCCGGGCCGTGCGGTCGACCAGGTGGCTCCCGCCAGCTCGAGCCAACCAGTGCGCGGCGTGTTGTGCGCAGTCTGCGCAGTCTGCGCAGTCTGTTCCGTGTCGCCCTCGTGTTCCATGGTGCTCGAAACCCATGACTGGCCTATCCCGGACCCGTGGTTTGGATGCTGTCTTGGCTTCTGATCAGGGAGCTTGACTTTGAAAGGAGGCCGCACATCTGGCAGTCATGATGTCCAAGCTCCCTACATGCCGCCTGCGTTTGTCCATTTCAAGCTTTGACCAGACCTTCCGACCCCATTCCACCCTTCCCACCCCCTTTTGCTTCGCGGGCTGCCGCTTACCGCTTCGGCTGCGGGCGGGCTTCCGAGGAGACGAAGCCCTTCGAGGATTTGCTGAGCAGTTCCAGGGGCGCGATGCCCGAGCGGCACGTGCAGCTCTTCCGCCGCTAGCAGCGACAAAGGGACGTGCAGGAGGAGACGTGCGAAAAGAGACGCGATGTTTGGCAGTTTGGCAAGTTGAGATGCGGATGGAGGAGAAGGTGGGAGAAGGTGGTGTTGATTTTCTAAAAGGCATGTTATGTTCCTCTCTTGATGTTTCGAGCAACGGGGATGTTGAAGATTCACAAGATTGGAGTGCATCTTTTGCGATCTTTTGTGGAAGGTCGCCTTTCACCTTGGAGGTCAGGCGCAACATGTTCAACAGGGGGTGCTGGTGCTGGTTGATGCTGGTTGGCGGGGTTTTGCGAAAAGGACACCAGGTTGAGTAGTAGGCATAGGTTCTAAGATCTCCCCTTTTCAACAAACACAAGTGGCCCGGCAGGGTGAAACGAACTTGGGGTGAGTGATCTTCACGGGCCTTGTTGTCCCCAGGTAACCTGCAAAAAGGTATTATATATCTTGGATGTACGAGTCTTCGGGGTGTTTGCCTATCACATCCTAAGGACAGTTGCAATTCAAGTGGCAGTGCTACGATGCTTACTGTCGTGTTTGTCTTGGCTTGGGCCTGCTTCTTGGACAGCATCTATGTCAATGTGTGAACTCCCCTCCTCTGGCGTGAGGAGGAATCAGTTTCCCATCATTCCTTGCGTCTCTTGAACGGGTCGTGCCCAGAATGTCCACGGTTGATCGAGTAATATTACAGTATATAGATATGATATCATACCCCACCAAGGTAAACCTACCCAATTAGTTTTGGGGCTGTTTCCCCACTGAAAAGACCAGGTGGAACTGGGGAGCAATGCAGTTGCCGAGCACCTAGGACCAAGAATCACCTTGAAGGGCTGAAGTCAATTTTTCAAGGATCCACTTCCATGTTGGAGGGGGTTCATCCCCTTTAATAATCGCAAGTTTTGGGCCACGCTTCAAGTTTGTAGACCCGGACCGAACGTCGGCGGCGCAGGAAATTGCGTGACCAAACATCGCATCATTGACCCACCCTCCCGTTTTTTGGTATGGAATCCCTGGGGCACCGCGACAAAATGGAGGGACACGGGGGTCCCAACTGAGGAACCATATTCTACAGGCGGGCGGGCGTCCGGCGTCGGCGCTTTGCGGCGGTGACAGAGTTGGACATGTCTGGAAGATGATCCAGTGACAGGCGGTCGACCAGGTCGACCACTGTAGAAGAGCAGTCCGAAGAGGTCTTCAAACATAAAAAACGCGAAGCTGAAGAGGTCTTTTTGCCAGGGTCCCGAGAGCAAGTTCTGTGCCGCACATAGATCCCGATAGCATATCAGCCCAAAAATCCTCTCAAAAGCGCGATGTTGATGGAAAAGATGATTTGGGTGGGGCCAGTGATTGAAGCACACCCAATATGTCTGACTTATGTGACAAGCATTTCTCCCGCCGAGTGGCCCTTCCCACAACCAACACGGGAGGACGACCGGGGAACTTGTTTCTTGGGCCTTGCTCACCTGGGTGCCCCAGCTTTAGATCCCTAATCACCCAGAGGTCCAACGCATTCCGTGACGAAACAGAGGCGCTCACCTACTACTGCATCTGCCATGCCTTGGTGGAGAACCGCACGCCCAGCCTTGGCTTCGGCCTGGTCGTCGCTCGCTTGGAGTGGTCCAAGTCTGCCCTGTGCGGACGAGGGGATTGGGGTCCTTCTTGGGGCCTTTGGAACGACCTACCGTCACACGAAACGCTGACCAGTTTCCCTGGTGTGACCTGGAGGCGTGGACGGAAACTCAGGTGTGACCTGGCGTCGCACCGGAAAAAGTCGGTGACACCCAGGTGCTCTTCCAAGCCGCCACCATCTTCGTGGCCTTTCTGGACCTAGCGGGCTTGCAGCACCGGGAGATCATCACCGTGCAGATCGTCAGCCGCTGGGCGACACCGACACCGACACCGCGTTGGGTGGGTGTCGCGTTGGAAGCCTTCGCTCTTGCAGTAGAGTCAGGTAGAGGAGGCCACGGCCCTTTGGGGGTCACGTTTCTTTCGTCATGTGCTCCCAGATTCGCAGTGGAGGGGGCAATTTTTTGAGGGTGTTTTTTCTTGTCATTTCTTGTGGTGCCGCGTGGCCTCCATTTCCTCTTCTGACATGCTCTGACATTTTTTGTATGTTTTCTTTCTGGAAAGTGTTCCAAGCCAAAGACCCCTCCCTTCACAAGGGTATTGTCCATAGACTGGGGCTGGGGCGGCTGGTTCAAGTCACCCACTTTGGTACGGCTACGGCTCCTGAGGCATCCTGCCCTCCTTAGCGACGGCGCTGGAGGTGAGTTTAAGCCCTCGCGATGAGGAAGGGAAGCTGATCCCGCACCAGGAGCTGGGAATCATGGGGTGCAGAATTAGTAATTAGTAGTGGCGGAAAGCTTAGAAGTTTTTTGAAGGTAAGAGTCCAGTGAATCAAACAATGGATATCCCCCTGTTAACATTAGTGATACGAGCATAGCCCAGCATAGCTGATTTTTGCTTGGACAGGTAGGCAGAGGGAGTTCGGTCCATTTTGCCCCGCGCTTCACTTTGTGGAGCCAGATTCCTTGTGCTTGTTTAGGGCGAGTGAGTTCAGATCGACACGCAGGCTGCTAGTTCAGATCGCAGTATTCATTTGGGAAAATTAGGTAACGGGTGTGACTACTGTAGGTGGGCAACTGGTGACTTAGTGATTTGATGAGCTCTCATATTGTCACGATTTGGAGTTGAAAGCGGGGACCTCGTTGCACGAAGACACTGGTCTGTATGGGCCGTTGAATTTGAGGTGGCGTATTCCATTTTTGGTAGCGATCCAACCGCCGCAGACGCGACGGCTCTTTGTAGCCGTCCCTTTTTCTCGGGTGGTGCCCAAATCCGCTGGACCTTGCGATGGTGACGCTGCCTGAGGATGAGAGGCTCGGATTGCAAGCTGTACTTAGCAGACTTAGCACAGCCAACATGATGAACATGGAAGGGGACAGCCCTTGTTTGTAGAGGAAAGGAGTCAGAAGGCTTCCAAGGGGGCATTCTTATTCTCGGCTTCCATGTTTGAAGCCTTCATCTTCCAACTGGCACTGGGGGACGGTGCCTATGCTAAATCACGGACTGGGCAGGCGGGGAGCGCTTATCAGCCATGTACATGCATCGGGAGCTTGCCTGCACCCTTTACTAACTGGGAGCTTAGCTGAGCTACAAAGTTGCTTGTGTAAGTGGGGACGCCTGGTCTAAACAAGGCTCTATTATTCTATAGTATATCATGAGATTTGAGACCCCGAGGTCTACAATGGTACTTCCACTCTTGCAGGTCTAAATGTGCATATGTGTGTATATGGAATTGCACATATCACGTATGGTATTAACATATATTATACACGATAGCATCGAATCAGTGAGTGCGTTTCGTCGTCGATGCACTGTACCAGTCTATGAGCTCTCAGGTCCAGTTTGTTCCTTTGTTCAGATGCTGGCTTGCTCTTGCAGATGTATTGACTTGCCCCAGCATCCAATGCCAATCTTCCATTCGACGCCTTCTGTCAAGCATGCCCTTCCGTCGTTCGACGGCCACTGGCGCCTGAAAGGGGCCAACGGGTCTCTTTCGTGGTGTGGGCCGACACCCAGCCAGCTGCGACATCTTCAACCGAGGAAGCCCTCAGCGGCTCTGAAGAGCTCGCCAGCGCCATCCCCTCTCAGCCGCTTGACCCGGTGGCTTCGGCTGGTCACATGCCAGCGGCGCGCCAGCGCGGAGGTGCGCCAGGCACGCTACGAGGAGCTGGTGGCCAAGGGCCAGCAGGTGAGGGGGAGCTGGGGATGGGAAGGGGGATTGGAACGTGTTCTTCTTCTTTTTTTGAATTTTTGGGTGGGTGGAACACTTCAAGTCTGATTCTTTGACTGTGCCAGAGTTCCGTTGAATCATGCTTCTTCGTTTCGGTGCTCCAGTTTGGAGCACCATGGCCCTCATGCCGGTGTTGCTTCTTCAGGTGCCAGAGGTGAAGAAGGAAGATTGGTCCCCCGGAGGGACGGAGGGACGGAGGGACGGAGGGAGGCACGGATGGCCGCAGTTCGCTGGGCTGGGCCGATGCGTGGATGCCGCGTGGCCGGGCCGATGGCGCAAATCCTAGGAACGTCGTGCATCGCTAGTAGCAAGAAGATACAACTGTAGTAGCTATTTGCTACTAGTAGTAGTGGCCTCCAACCTGCTAGCGATGGCCTCCAACCTATATACTAGCTATTTGCTACTAGTGGCGATGCACTTGTTACAAGCTGGTGTTACTGGCCCGTTTCACCTTCTTTCAGCGCAGGGACCTGCAGCAGGGACCCTCCCGTGATGTGGATCATTGTTGGGCAGCATGTAAGGAGGTGGGGAAACACTTCCCTGGACCCAAACCCGCAGTTTCATGAGAAACCCTTTGGGACATTGAACTCCAAATCGGAACAACAAGACAAACACAGGACAAACCCACATGCATGTCTATCGACCCGTCTTTCAATCTTTTCCAAACCGAAGCTGGCGGGGTCGGAAGGACACGAACCCCCGGTGCCCCCCCGCTCGTCGGTGCTCGTTAGAAAAGGAGGTCCTTGGGGCCCAACTCTGCCCGCCGCGCCTGAACCTCCCCAACGGGGACCGACGGACGGTCCGCCCGCCGAGGTACGAACGCTTAGCGTGGTGGAGCGAGGTGAAGACCAAGAAGGGCTCCAAGGCAGGGACGACGAGATGGACACGCTGGAAGTTCCAATGGTTCAAGAAGGGCCAACGAGGGGTCAAGGATGGGTCAACGATGAATCTTGAGTCATCAAGAAAGATCCCCAATCTGAAGAGGTGTGACAATTCAAATTGATCGGCAAAAGAAGGACAAGACAAGACTTGATCAAACACGCCGACTTCGTCGTGGTCGTCTGCCGGTCCGTCGCGGTTTGGGGGGTCGCTCGCGTGGGCACGTGATGTGTGCGGGAGTGACGTTTTGTTGGGGGGTGGGGTGGAAAGGGAGAAGGGATGGAAGTGGAGAAGGGCGACTTTACTGCCTTCAGTTAGGGCAGATGTTTTGTGGCTGGCGCCGAAATGGATCGCCCCAGCTCCCCGAGCGCGGGTTCAAGCATCAAGCGTGTCATGTGCCACCATTGTTCTATCATGCATGTCATGCGACTTGTAGCATTGGAAACGTCGAAACCTGCCAGTGAGGACTACTGGGTGCCAGGGAAAACCCTGGTTTACATGGGGTTTATCGTTGTCTTACTTGGGATTTCTTTCGAGATCCAACAAGCACTTTATATATATACACACACATATATATATATATAGATATATAAATATAATAAAACACACACATAAATATATACATATACATATATATATATATATATCTATGCGCATACACATATAATTTCATATATCCCTCATGATCAACGATCCGTGATTTTCAAGATTGATTCATGCTGGTTGAAGCTTCAAATCGTTTTCCCATGGATCATGCAAATCATGCGTCCTGCCACCAAGGTCTTTGTGATAGCGCCACGGGGCCCTTCAGGGGAAACGGAGCCTGGGCCGTTGTTTCAAAGTGAGAGACAGATCACAACAGTCTCAATATGTCTCAATTCTGGAGTGGTGGCAAGATATGGGGTTGGCAAGTCCGGACTTTATTCCAACAGATGTTGGGATTGGGGCCGCCATACATGGGTTCCCCCTCCTAGGCTTGACTCGATGGCTGAGCGCGAATACGGCGCAACAATATCCAATCAGTTCACTGTCCACCCGTTTCTGCACGCTTTGTGAGCAGAAGACCTGCGAGGCCCAAAGGCCGCGACCCCTCAGAACAACCTCCGACACGTCCTGACTCTTTCTTCTCGCTGGATCGGCTGCCCTTTGGTCCCCCAGGACTACTACATCAACATGCGAGAGTTTCTGGGCTTTGCCCTCTCCAAGATGCACAAGACGGTCATTGAGGAAGAGCAGCGCTACGCGGTGGTCTGGGTACAGGAGAGTGACCATCGAGTAGGGCCCTGGATGGCATGGCGATTTTCCGAGAGCCTTCCTGAGACCTGGCCAAATCAAGAGTCTACATGTAGCACGAAACAAGACACCGACGACCGCTTCGAAGCGCCACGAAACGGTCTTCTCAGGGAGTGGAGGGGAGGGGAGGGATGGAGGGAGGAGGCCTGCGAGGTGGGGAGGCCATCACCGGCCGGCAAGTCGCCGAGGGAGCACTTTGGCTGAGGCGTGGACATGATGCCTATAGAAGCTGAGTGGCCTCGATTCTAGACCACCAAGCACTGCCAAGCACCCAAATGATTTCCACATCCTATCAAAGAGGTGTCTGGGCTCCCCGGCCAACGGCACCGGCGCTGCGGAGGTTTCGAGCGTCCCCCTGAGTCGAGAGTCGAGCCACCAGACCGCCGATCGTCGGTCCGAATGGAGGCTGCTGCGAAAGTAGCGGAACCGCCAACCGCCCTCGTTCGGTCTGTGGTTTGGCAGTGCTTGGCAAGTGGTTCACTATGAACTGAGCATGTATTGAAAGAGGGAAGGCTCCCAGTTCGACCCCCTGGTACGAAAGCAAATAGACCAAAACCGATTGGTCTCCCTATTGCAATAGACATCCAACTAGAGGTCACAGCTAGTTTGCCTGGCGCTGAGGAGAGCTATGCCAAGAACCTCGAGGCCGTCCATGTGGTGCATCCTTCATGGACCGTGCGCTTCTTGCGCTTGATCTTGTGGCCTTTGGCTTCTGAGGACCGTTTCCCACCGGAGGGGTCCACCCGGTCCAGCGACCGTTCGCAGGCGAGCTGGATCCGGTGCCGGGTGTTGCGTCGGCAAGGTAGACAGTTGTCATAGAAAGATGTGAGTGATGTATGTGGAACTGGCAGCAGAACAAGCAGAAAAAGGAACACAACAAATAGATGTGCAGACATGTGCAGTTCCAGAGTTACGGTCGACAAGTGGCAGAAATAAGTGAGCACTTGCGGAAGAACGTTCATCTTCATACAGTGGTTCCAGACGAACTGGTCGAACTCGGTTCCGCTGCTGTCGAACAGTGGGTTGCAGAAAAACTGTGGTCGACGAGTCGAAGAGCATCAGAAAAACATCGCCAGCTTTGGGAGCATTCTTAGGCCTTTCGCAGCACTTTGACACTGCTTCTTCTTCCCAGTCGACTGCGGTTCCTTTTTCGAGGGTTTGTCGCACCTAGAGCTTTGCCCCGGGAGAGCTCTGGCATGGATTCCCCCCCTTCAGGTTTGGATATCTCAAAGCTGACTTGGGGCATGGAGAGCAGCTGAGCCCCGCCGCAGAAACGGTTAACTAGTAGACCATTTTTTTCTACGTCCAGATCAAAAAGTTAGGATTTCAAATCACCAAAAAGTTCTATCTCATCATATGAAGCTCATGAAAGAAGATAAAGAAGGTCCTCCATCTTTGGGCCTTTCACTTAGCTCGCCCACCTTCTTTTTTCCTCCCACCCGTTCACCATCCTCTTCGACCCACAACCCGTTCGGCCCACGATCCCCGCCCATCACTCTCCTTCTCTCCTCCGATGAACCCACGGATGGTCCACGGCTTCCGGTCGACGGGTCTGGAGGACTTTTGGGATTACTTCCATTCGCACGAGCGGATTGAGTTCCTGGACGTGGCGCTGGACCTGCGGAAGTTCCGGCTGCCCAAGGCCCGTTCGGGACTGGAGAGGAGGGGGACCACGGCCCGGAGGCGCGTGGTCGGCCGGAAAAAGAGGGGCAGACCGTTGAAACATGCACCAACCAGTCTACCCTTATCATGATTGAAAGCTGCAGGTTTGGTCACATGCTTTGCCACTTTGCCCTGGCCTGGCAGCCAGGACATCGTGGAATACGACCAGTGGCTAGACAAACAGGCAGAAGAGTTGCACAAGCAGCAAGCCATGAAGCACAGCCATGGCGCCTCGCCATGTGGGCCTCGGCCGGGAAGCACAATTGACGGTTCATTTCATGTCCGGATCTTTTGGGTTCTCCAAAGCTTCAACGACGGGGTGGGGGTGCTTCAAACTTGAGGCCCTGATCAAAACGAAGACGAAGGAAACAACCCAGTTCGTCCTTTGTTCTTTGAGAACGAGTGCATGTAAGTCCTCGTCACATGGGGGGGTTATTCATCAAGAATCTACATGGTCGGGTCCCAAAACAGCCTGGCCAGGAGGGTGCTGCTAGGCAGCTCCGAGGTGGATTTACCTGCCTGGCTTTCAGTGGATGAGCATGTTGTTGTGTGGATGGCCCTGTCGTGCCCAGAGAACGAGCATGACGAGCTCCTGTCACGGCAGGGTTTGCTGTTTCATCCATTGACCTGCAAGGTGGGAGGTCAGTGGGTTGGGGTTTAAAGGGCTGTGTTTGCGGCAGATCATGCACCCAGGCGCCTTCATGGGCTTTGGAAACGCCGGAGCGGAGGAGGAGAGGAAGAAGCTTGAAGAACAGATAGAGGAAATGAAGCGCGTGCTCGAACAGAAGGGGCACAGCATGAAGACCGACTGATCGCGCGCGAGAAACCACCGATCGCGATGTGAGAAAAAGGAGCGCGGAGCTCGGAGGGGTGATTCTTCGCACCTTGGATCAGTGATTCGCATGCCGCATGCCTTTATTTTTCCTTTTGGTGTGTGTTTCGAACATCGGGATGTCAATCTTTGAGCTACAGCACCTTTTCGGTCGAGATGGTGTGCCCTTTCGGTCCGTCCATCCGGGTCTGTTCGACTCTTGTTCAATCCACGGAAGAGGTCGGGGTTGGTGGCAAGAGAGGTTCGATTTGTCGCGATGGAACTTTTTCACCGTTTGGAACCCAGGTGCGGACGAACGCCACACAGCTCCGGACGCACGCAAAAGCTAGCTTCCGAATCCATGGGACCTGGAAGATATGACCTACATTGACCCTGAAAACGTTCGTTCCAGTCTCACCCCAATGGATTGACATCCAGTCCCATGGATTCTGGAGGGCTCGGGACCCGAACAGGGCTCGGGACCCGAACCGGTGCAGGGCGAAGGAAGACGGGGCCGAAACGACGATCGGCCCAACGCAGCCAGGCAGCCAGGACAGTCTCAAGTATCTCAAGTACCCTCCAGGTGCTAACAGGTGAGGGTTGGAAAGGGGCCCCTTTAAACAGGTCGAACCATTGGTGACCTGTAGAATCAACGATATTTGGACCGACTGAAGTAAAGGAGACTCCTGAACTCGGGTCACCTAAAGACCATGCTTTTTATAGTCCTTCACTCCCAGGAGAATTGTACAGAATTGGTCTTTTGAATACCGAATTGGCCCCCCCCCAATCTCGAGGGATTGCACAGCTGGGCGTGTGCCAGAAGTAATTACTGTTTTCATTCTCTATGTGCCACTGGTGTGTTTGCCTGGAACCCAGACATGACCTCTTGTTTTGATGGGAAAAGATTGGTCCAAGAATAGGTCACTCAAGTTCTAGGTATACAGAGACTGGTTTGATCCCGCAACCCGCCAGATGACTTGTCCCTAGTTGGCCTTGCTCCCTACTCAGCCTGGACCGTGACGACTACAAGCTTTCTCGGGTTTAGCTGGACGTCCAGTCATGACTCATTTTACCTCCTTACAAGTGGTGGATCATGACATATCATGACTACCAGCAGGTGGGGCAAAATGAGTCATACAAACAACACCGCCTGGTCAGAGGATTCAAAGAGCCCCGGTTTTGCCGGGACAGACGACCCGGCCTGTCGGGTGTCGACAGCCGGTGTGCAGGACTTCCGGCTGTCGCCAGTGAGCTTCTTGTGCCACGCCATCTGGCTGGAGCCACTCGAACTTGTGTAGCGGGGGTTTCGTGATGGCTCCAACTCCAAAGGCCAGTCTTGGCAATCCCTTATCTAATCATAGTTATATATCATTTTGGGAATCTAGCCGGCAGTCTTGAGGGGGTCATCTGCTTCGGAACTGTTTCCCGGTCTTCTTCTGGTTCCTGAGAGCCAGCCTCGAGTAGGCAGATGGATCAGCCCAGTCCGGCCTCCGAATGAAGAAAGGAAGGCCAAGAGGACAGACACAGCCCAGTCCGGTCTCCAACGCGTGAAGCAACATGATCAGGTCGCAACGATGATGTGATAGGTCAACTGTGACCTGGCAAGAGTGTTAAGGTACCTTGACGAGGTCTTCCATCGCCAGCACCCTGCTGGAACCATCCGCACACACCATCAACATCAACCCACACCAAACAGAATGTAAACCTCCTCAAAGGCCCCCCCAAACTAATAAAGCCCTTGGCCGCCCGACCGTCCATCATATTAAAATCACCACCGCTTGGATTGGATTTGGATTCGTTCCACCGTTCCACTCCCCGCAGTTCCGCGTCCCAACAGGACCGACGACTGGGCTTGGATCGTTTCGGACCGGTGCTCAGCGTGGACCGTCCGAGGCTCTGGCTGCGCATCGCCTGGCCGAGCGGCGCCGAGAAGCAGCTCGCGCAGCTGCCGCGGCGCTTCCGACAGGTGGGGATGGGGGGTGGCAGGGGTGCCCGGCCAGAAACTGGGGAGAGTGCAAACTAGAACCCAAGAGAGGTTCTCACTTTTTGGAGGGTTTGAGGGGGCGTTGACCAGCAAAGATGGATTCATCTGACATCATTTGTGTATGGTCCGGGAGTTTGGGAGGATGTGGTCGACTTGCCGACTTCCACCCCCAACTCCGTCTAAGCAGCTGAGACCCAGACGTGGAAAGAGGAGCAAGGTCGATACGTCTCCGTTTTATTTTGCATCGCAGGCGCCCAGTGCCTCGTCTTCCTTGCGCTGTGGGTGGATTAAACATCTCATACTGATGTATTTTTTTGCAGGAGTCGAGCCGCCATTCATGCAGGAAGTGCACAGGTCAGCTGATTATATAAACATCTCATACTGATGGGCTTTCAAGGAGTCGCCACGAGCCCTTTGGCTGGCCTAGGGCCTAGGCGGCTAACTTGTCAGGCCATGCATGGTCTGGTCGTTGACCCCCCGAAACACCTAAGAACACAAACCCAAACCCATGCTGCTTGTACCTTCATCCCATTTAAAAGTGGCGTCGGAGCAGATGGCACAAACGCAAAGATGTCTGTTATATGGGGGTCCACTCCACTGCTAAACCACCGAACTTGGACATTTGTGCCACCTCTGGCCACCTCCAAAACCACTGTACGACATGTCACCGGCCGGAAAGGTGGCGCGAAGCTCCCGCATCGTCGCCGCCCCAGGTGCTCTTCCTGGATCCCTTCGGTGATGTCTTCTGGGACCCCAACCAGGTGGGGCACCCGGGACCGCGCCCGGCGGTTGGATCGGCGCGGGGCCTCGAAGATCCCAGAGATGGATCGTTGGGGTCCTGGAAAGGGCCTGGCCTGGAACCCATGAAAGAACGGCCGGGTCCTTTAGGTCTCTCCGAGATCCTGAGAACTTCCAACGATATCGATGGTCTTTTCCGTTAAGCCTCTGGTCCTTTCGAACCATGCCGTTCTCGTTCACCCGCGGTGCGGTGCACGGGAACGCCTAGGTCGATGCAGGGAGGTCGCTCTGGGAGGCGCTCAACGCGGAGAAGGACACGGAGCAGACCGCGGCGCTGCACGCGGCCACTGGGACCGGGTGGGGCGGAGGCGAGTGCTGCAGGGAGGAAGGTAGGGCCAGGTAGGGGTTGGGCTCACAAAACACCAGGACTGGAGATGTCAAGCCATTCTAGATTGATCTTGGACTCCATGGCGCTTTGCTCCGTTCCCTTCAGATCCTTCAGCTGCAGCCCCCGAGGCCCACGAAGCCGCCTGTGCCGCCACCTCGCAGCTGACGGTGGCGCAGTGCGCCCTGCGGCGCTGGCAGTCGGTGCGCCCCATGGGATCGAGGCTTGAGGGGTGATGTCAAGTAAGCAACTGTCGCTGGATGTTTGGTGTGGTTTCCAGCTATGCCTGGGATAGCCATTGGCCTCTCAGGTACCCAGCTGGTGTTGCTCCCACGCGCAGCGTGCGGAACTGGCTCGGCTGGAGACCCGACGTGCCAAGTGTGGAGGCCGGCGTCGCTCCCCCGCAGATGTCCAACTCTCGAACTGGGCCCAACAGAGAGATGATTGACATGCACGAGTAGAAAAATCATGGTTTTGCTTAGGGTGATTTTCGTTTGGTCCCTCTGGGTACATTCCCATCTGAGGAAATTCTTACCAGTTCCTGAAGCAATTTCCAGAATTTGCATACCAGCACTACTGGGCGTTGGGTGCTTCGCCCATCCTCTTCAAATCCCTGCGAACAATGGGAAGATCACCTTAGACACAGCATGACACAGCCTATATTTGAGGATTAAGGTACTGTAAGAACAACCCCACAGGCTGTATGATTGACCAGTTTGCATGGATGGCAATTCAAAAATCCTTGGAGGGATTTGTTGGGTGGGTGGAAGACCCTCCAAACGCGACATGCGCGAGTGCTTGCGCGCCGCAGTGAACGTCGGTGAGGTGCCATCAGTAGCGAGCTGGAGAGGTCGGAGGGATGTGGGGTGAATGGTTGCTGGATGGGTTGAGGTCTGGTGAAAGGCAGTGTATGGGTGTGGTGACCTGGTAGTCTGGGTGTGTATGGGCCTGATGACAGATGTCCGTGGTAGCCTGGTAGTCTGTTCCTATTGGATGTTCTATTCAATCTCGGCGAGAAAAAGAACACTTGCCGACGGACTCACTGGGCACTGGATGCATGTTTTTCCGATTCATTTGGGGTGGTTTTGAGTAGCGTGGATTGCAATCGCAAGCGTGGTCAACCAGGATGATCACGTCATTCTCGGGCTTTGTTCTTAGCCTCAATCGTATTCTTCACATGCCCATGTGCCGAAGGGCTCCATTTTTTCGGGTGGTGTGGCGTTCAGGCACTTGGCGCCAGTCATAGACTCTTAGATGAGATGAAATAACCTCTCCAGACTGACAAAGAGGTATTTTTACCATCCGGTTCGGTGGTCCACCAGAGCCTATCCATCCCCCATGGGCTGCACTGGGGGCCGCCCCAGAGAAGCAAGAGTTGTGAACGTCACATGCACGGCCACGTAAGTTGGGGCTCTGGCGGTT